AGGAGTGTAAACATCCCGGCATCCCCGAGGAGGGGGCGGGGCGATGCCAGTCCCGCCCACTCTTGCCCCGCCCCCTGCGCAGGCCCCGCCCTCCCAAGGAGCCCTGCTGCTGCCGCGCCCGTTCCCCGCCGCCCTCCGCGGAAGGGCCCTTCGCTTTCCCACCCGAGCAAGGAGGGGCCATTACAAAGCCTAGCGCGGTGCGGGGCCCGTCGTCTGCCGCCGTAGCCCGATTCCTCTCCAAACTGAGAGAGTTTTAGAACTTATTAAAATTGCCCCCATTTGCAAGCGGCGAGCCGAATTGGTGACGTCGCTTTCCTCCTCTGGGTCCTGGCGTTTGGATCTCATCCCCTTTTCTGGGTGGTGTAACTAACTCTGCGCCAAGAGAAACTTGCATCAAAGAAAGAGACCCAGGCCAGAGGGCAGTGGCTTTTAGGACATTTCTGAAAGGTGAACTACCTGGTTTGGTGCTAGGAATCTTAGCGGGCTGGGGGTGTGTGACATCCCAGAACCCTAGCACTCGGAACTGCAGAGGAACGCTTGAATCCAGCCGCTCCACTGCTTCAATAACCGGACACGCATTCCCGGAGGACACGGCTAGGAGGCAGTAGGGAGTCAACCACACCTTGATTGTAATCTCAGCCCGGGGGTTATTATCTCTGACCTGGCGATGAGTTGTTTCACCTCTCCCAAGTCTCAGTCTCTTTGTACCTCTAGGGCTACGCTAGAATTTCGTGAGATAAAGCAAAATGCTTAAGCACAAGAGCCTAGCGGATAAGAAGTGCTATTTAAGTAAGTAGTCGCTATTTCTCCCAGATCCGTTCGCTAGTTTGGCTTCCCTAACAAAGGGATTCGAGCCAAAAAAGACTGGACTATAGGTCAAATCCTTGAAATGTTTAAACTATGGAATTAAGGTTTGGAAAGTATTTTTAGAAAGAAAACAATTCAAGATCTGAATAGTAGATAGTTGATTTCAGTAGTTAAGCAAGTATTTATAAATCTCCTTGGTACTGTTCTAAGGAATAAAGATACAACAGTCACAAGATACAAAGTGCCTGCTCTGCTGGACCTCACATTGTAGGAAAGGGAATAATAATAGCACTAAGTCAATAAATGCATCCTATGTCAAATAGTGCTTCATTCAAAAATAAAGCAGGATATGAATGGAGCGGCATTGTGGGGGAGGGGCGCGGTGATCAAATCAGACTTGGGTGTGCAGGAATAGCTGTGCTGT